TTTACAAGTAAATTCAAACATTATGGCATCTAAAAAAGAAAAAATTGTGATGAACATCGTTTTATATTAATACCATTGCAGTAGGATTTAGTGAAACCTAAATTTCTCAATATCATTGAACAATTAACAAACGAATTTTCAACAAGATTTGATGATTTTTATAAATACGATAAAGAAATTAAATTATTCCATAATCCTTTTCAAGTGGACATAAATAATGTCAAGAATAATTTACAAATGGAAGTCATTGAACTTCAAAATGACAAGGTTCCAAAAAATTCTTTTCGGGAAGCAACTAGTTTGCCTCAATTTTATAGTTGTCTTCCAATATCTACAGTCGTTGCCAGATAAATTGAGCAGGCGGCGGCGGCGCGATAACGGAAAACCAGTGGTTCTCCGTATTTCAATATTATTAGTTATTACCGAAAATACATCAATAAACCAACAATTGTTACAAAAAATATTTTACGATATTAATTTAAAATTGTTTGCACTGAACCGGGTTCGAACTGGTGAATGCGCGCGTCGTAGCCAACTGTGTGACCTATGCACCACACTGCCAGCAACTAGTTTGGGCTACACTTACTGAAAAGCGCCGCCGCCGCCTCCTCAATTTATCTGGCAACGACTGTACCTTCCCTGGAATCAGACAATGCGCACAACAATTTAAAGCGTCGCACAGAGGGGCCAGTGACATGAAAAGTTGGCAAAAATTATTTTTGTTATTTTTTTTAGTTTATAATACGTTACAAATAAATATACTTCAAACTTGTGTTCGTACAATCGTATAGGTTTACAATAACAATATATTACCAAGTATGTACATATATTAAAAAATATATCGTAAATAATAAAAACAAATATTTAAATTAATTCATTATCACTGATTGACGAAGAAGATGAATCCGATTCATTGATATCTGGTGATTGTAATAACTGGATTACAGTTGATTCTAAGGTGATTTCCGCTTCATAGGTTAGTGCATACTATACTCTGTTCAAAATAAGATCGTGACCCGGCGGCGACCAGTTTTCGTCGGGCGGCGGTCAGACATATGGCCAGATGCCGTCCCCACTACAGCGACGCGTCGGACGCAGCCACGGAACAAAGCCACGCCCATGCGCACAACTCGGCCGCCGGGTCACGATCTTATTTTGAACAGAGTATAGTGATAAGTGGATCAGACGAAATTAACAACCTATTAACTATGTCTTCGTTAGTTAGTTGACGAGAAATCCTGTGACTGTGAATCCTCCTCTGTACCATTTAAACATTTTGTTGTTTGCCTCCTGGGCTTCCTCACCTAACTGCCCAATAGGGAGTATTGCTTTATCTATTATAGTTGGTCCATGAATTAATACTTTATGTATAGTAGGTGACATGTTATACCAGGGATATTTTTCTACAAATAATTGTGCCGTTTTTAGAGCATATTCTTCAAACAGTTTTAGATTTATTGTATATCCGCTAGCCATAGTTTTCAAAATATTTCGAAATCTTTTGATTATTTCTACATCTACTCCAGTAATACTACTTGATACATCTGTATTTTCGAAAAAACGTCTAGCCGTATTGCCATCATTAATGTTTCCATACCCAGGTTTCGGTTTATCAACTATTAATCCAAGTTGATTTTTAAATTTTTCCCTTATTACTTTTTTGGTGGTTTCGTTAAGTTTTTTGTTTTCTTCGCCACGAGCTTGCCATGTTTTTAATGGTAATTTATATGCTACGTGTAATAGACATTCGAAGAAATGTATCCAAGCGTGTAGTGTTGACATACCAAATTCTAATGCAGACTCGCATACTATTTTTGCTGCTTTGCACTTTTCAATATTATTGAAGTCCTTTCGATGTTAAATTACATAAAAAAACATCTTATGGTTGAAGTTGTTTCTGTCAATGAATTGCATATTTTACCGTCAACCATTGTAAATAATAATGTGTGGTTAATTTCAATTCTTCGGCCATCTATTTCGTATAACGTGGGTACTAATTCACGTATTTGGCTTTCTATATATTCTTTCTCTTTTTTAGCAAGGTCCGTTGTCTCATGAGCAAATTGAAATCTAATAGGACGGCAATATCTTGTTGATGAAGACCTCAAATTATTCCAAAGAACAATTTGTTGCTGTATTGGTAAATGAGGATCACCAGATATGAGCCTTAGAGGTACCAGCGAAGACAAAAAAATACTTGCATCATTAGTGGAACTGTTTACAAACTTTTGTTTATATTCTGAATGACCAGACGATCCGTCGAACCCCCCCTTAGTAATTAAACACAATTTTTGCAAATGTTCTTGTCTTTCAATCAATTCATGTTGAGTTTTCATAAGGCGTAAAATTGTGTGATCTAATAATCCTTGCAGTTTTATATCAACTGTTGAATTAGTAATTGAAATATATTGCTTTTTTGGGTAACATTTTTTTTTGACTAGTTGAATTTTTTTACATGATGGGAATCGTTCTTTATCTTTGTTTCTTATGATATTATATTGATGAAGTTCAGCTTCTACAAACATAGATAATGCTTCTTCTGATGCCAACTCAATGCGTTTGGACGTCTCCCATTTGTTAAAAGCCATTTTATAACGAGTAGCACGTTTAGGCGTTGTACTGGTAACTTCTTTTACCAAATTTGCCGTATCTGTTTTACCTGATGCACGCAAACTCATATGTGCTGTATGCCTGTATGACACAATTCATCGGTAGAAGTTGAAGTCCTCAAATATTGAGTTTTCAACCGTTTAGTTCTTTCTGATGCCAAAATAAAGCTTATATTTGGTCTACCTACTTCAGAAATACTTGAAGAAAGTTTATAATTTGGGAAACCTAGTGATGTTTCTAACCAAACAGAGTTTTTAGTCTCAAATTTTTCCTTCATCCTATAAGAACTTGACCACTTTTTTTTTAAATCAGAAATGAAGTATGATATCTTTTTATGTAGTTCTGATTTTTTAGACTCTGGGCAGTTGGTTCGTTTTTCTAAATATTTTTTTTTTAAATAAAATTTGATCATCCAATTTACTTTGACCAGATTTGTTCAATTTTTGATACAAAAATTTACGAGTCAGAAAAATGTCAGTACTGCCCGATCCTAAAAGAATTATTATTTTTTTGATTAGTTATTAAATTGCACATATTTTAATAGGAAACAAGATTCATTTATTAAATAATTATTTTTACACGGAAGCAAATAATGAATTAACAATAACACAAAATATCATTATATGAAATATTCGTATGAAATTGTAATGTGAATCCATATTCTGAAGCTACTTGAACTAAATAGTGCAAATATGTCCAAATTTTTTTTTGTTGATATGATAGATTACTTTTTTAGGTATTATATTTTGCAAAAATTACAGCTCGGAAAGAATCCTAGGTGAATTTAATCTTTATATCAATATTATGAAATCATAAGAGAATGACATAGTATTATTTCACTATGTTTAAATGTAATTTACACGTCTAATCTAAAATCTAAAATAATTATGGGATTAACATAATGTAACTGACCTGTTGCTATTGACTCCATAATGATTTGAAGTTGATGCACTTTAAAGTTACAAGGCTCTGTTAAAAAAAAGTACTTCTTTTAATAGTTAGTTATATTGTGAAATGTCAATTATATACTTTGGAACTTTCTTTACGATTGTCGAAACTAAGTAAATTTAAGCGTCAACAAATACACGAAACTAGTTTTAGATAGTATATGAACTCCTCTACCAATTATATATAATTATTTGATAAGATAGTTAGATTAGATAAAAGGTATTTTTGCCACCTAATGATGTCATTAGCCCTACTGTTCGTCGTTTGAAAGTACATATATATGTGAGCAGACATTTTCCATTATGAAGTACAGAAAAAGTAAGCACTCTTCACGCCTTAGTGATGAACATTTACTAGCTGTATAACGAGTCTCAACAACAAGTCTGCAAGCTGATATCGAAAATTTAAGTAATAAACTGCAGACACAAAAATCGCATTAATTTACAACTTTACAATTTTTTCTTAAATGCAATTTTTCCAGTAACATTTTTGTTTTTTTACTCTCATTATTCTATGTAAAATAATCAAATATAACAGCAATACAATTATAAGTATTATATCATAATATGTAATTTTTTTTTTAATGTGGCCCTTGATGAAAAATTGAAAAAAATATGGCCCGCGTGGTTGAAAAGGTTGCCGCCGACCCCTGCTATAGAAGGTATCCTGATTTATTAAAAATTTTACAAATAAATAATAACCAATAATAAAAATAAAAATTGTCAAAACAATTATTTGGTTTAGAATTTAAGAAATGGAAAACCAATATTGAAGACACTAATATTTGTCAATATGTTCAAAGAACATCTACCAAAACTCACCATAATGTAGAATACACATATTATATTTGTCATCGGTCATACCATCCAAGATTAGCTAGCAAGGTAATACCACTTTTTCTACTTGAAATAAACGATTCATGAATTTAAAACGTATAAACTAAAATTATATTATTAAAATATTAGTTACATTTTATATTTAAGGGTCAAAGGAATCCTAAAAGTAGTGGATCAGTAAAAATTGGAAAGGTTTGTCCATCATACATAAAAGTATACAAAAATGGAGTCCAATTTCAGATAGCATTTTGTAGCGGTGATACCCGATTGAGCATGGTCGTTATCGGCCGACCTTTTAGACGACCCGATTGAGCACGATAAAAAAAAAATATTGTGTACAACGTTGTCAGATTTTCACTAGTACTTACGTATGTTGTGTAGATATTACCAATAGGTTAATGATTTTGCTATCGATCGATGGGTAGGTATACCCACGGAAGTTGAAAATAACTGGGATAGATAGGAAACCACAATTTTATCTACAACGATTGCACTAAATTGTGATTAACTGTTATTGTATGTACCTATGCTGTAAATAAGACTTGGTCACAGTCAGTCTGTTCTGTTGCCTCGTGCTCGTAGTGCGGTAGTGTAAAAAATTTTACGATGGAAAATAAGGAAATAAAAATTATTTTATCCGAGAGAGGTAAAGGGTTGGCAAATGTTGGAGCTTTCAAGTACAGGTTTATTGGGTCCAGGAAAAATGGTGAATTGTTGAAATGGCGATGCACAAAAAATGATTGTACCGCAACAATCTATTCTGGCCAAGAGAAAAATATTGTACTGCAATCAAATGGACAACATCATCATGACGGAAATTCAGTACATAAAATTCAAAGGCAAGTATTACGAGAAAATTGCAAACGACGAGCTGAAGAATCTATGTCAATTCAACCTCTTAAATTAATTAGACATGAACTCCTCCGTAATACTGAACTAACGTCCATTGTCCATAAAGATTTGAAAACAGTTCGAAAGGCTATTTATGATAGACGAAGAAATACACTTCCTGAATTACCTAAGTCACGAGAAGACATGTTTTTGCAGCTAAATTTAATAAAAACTCAATCTGATTTTATGTTTAATGGACAGCAATTTATACATATTCCTGAAGATGATAGTTTTGTATGTATTACTAGCGACGACAACCTAAAATTTATGACAACAAAATGCAGTGATTTATTTGCCGATGGTACATTCAATTACGCTCCTAAATATTTTATGCAGTTATATACAATACACGGATTTAAAAATGGGTATTATTTGCCTTTAGTTTATTTTTTTTTGTTTGAGAAATCGAAAGAGATGTATAAAAAAATTTGGTTATTTCTTAAAGAATTGTGTATGAAATGTAATGAAACTGAGTTCAAATTACAAAAATTACATGTTGACTTCAAAAAAGCAGCTCACCAAGCCGCTTCTGAAGTTTTTGAAGATGTCCAATTGTTATCATGCAGATTTCATTTAGGGCAATCATGGTGGAGGAAAGTAAGTATAAAATAAAAACTAATAAAATTAGTAACTATTAAATTAAATTAGTTTATTATTATTACAGATAAACAGTGACCCTGTACTCAGATTAGCATATACAAAAAAAGACGATGCTCTTGGAAATTGGTTAAAAGTGTTTTTTGGATTGGCTTTTCTTCCGAGTCATGAAGTAGCTGATGCATTTGTCGAACTTATCAGTGTATGTCCAGATGAAATTGCTTGCACAGAATTTTCCGATTATATTTTTAATAATTACATTGATGACGGATCTCAATTTCCTCCAAATATATGGGCTGAGGAACCATCGTATAATCCAAGGTATCTATACGGAATCTATAAATTTTATGATAGACATAGATACATTTTTAATTCTCCAATTTGTATTTTTTAGAACAACTAATGCAGCTGAAAGTTTCCACAGGACATACAATTCCCAATTTTACAAAGCACATCCACATATACACTTGGTTATTATAGTGTTACAGGAAACTCAGGCTGAAACGATCACGAAAATTCAATCCATAGCAAGTAATAATCATAAAAAAATTAGTGTTATCGAAAACCAAAAAATAAACTTCACTATAAAGGCTTATCAGGAGTACTCTGCATTAAAAAATGTTGATGACTTACTTAAATACTTATTTAAAATTGGAAATAAGTATTTAGGGAAAAAAATTTAAATTTTTATTTTTTAATTCATTTTGATTGGTATTTTTCAACATTTTTTTATTTAATTTTTTTTATATTATATATTTTTATATTCAGTATTTACCGGAATAAATTGTAATTGTAATATTGTAATATAATATAATATAATAAACTAACTGACGTACATATGTAATAATATGTGATTAAAATCCAATAAAAGATTTTTATTTATAAACATTTACATTCAAATGTATCTTATTTTTTAAAAATAATATTCTACGATACACAATGGCAACGTCGCACCTATTTTCGTGCTCAATCGTAATGTTTTTGGGGTTTTTTTGGGTTCCTATTGTTTGATTCCAACCATGCTCAATCGGGTTGTGAAAAAGGTCAATCGTGCTCAGTCGGGTTCCAGCCTTTTGTAGTACTCATTTATTTCATGATAATGAAATAGGGAAACAAAGATTACATGCTTGGATATTCACTCGATTTCTCATGTAGCGATTTTGTTATTTTTTGTAATTCAAAAACGAATAATTGTAGATACATGAAAATTTCACCGAATGTTTATATTTTCATTTTCTATTAACTACCAAGTTTTGAAAATATTTTGACGGTATAAACCAGTACTCATTTATTTCATGATAATGAAATAGAGAAACAAAGATTACATGCTGAAGACAGATGTGAATTAGCAGGTACTTATAATAAAATGCAAAAAATATGATTGATTTACTTTTGAGTACACATTAAAAATTAAAAAGTATTAGGATAAATACATTTTTACTTGTAGCTTATCCTAATCACAGTTTAAAAATATTTATGTTTACATTGTTTTAGGAAAACTAGGTATGGGTGTAACACGGTTCAACGAGTTTTAAATGACGTTGGAAATTCTGCTACTATAACTGATTTTAAAAGAATCCATTTATTAGAAAAACGAGATTTACATAATATTAAACGTGATTTTAAAATTGATAATTTTTCTACAAAGATGAATGAAAATTATTTGATTTTGTTAGTGTTCGCCTGTGGGTAGAGAAAATAAAAGAAAAAGGTGAGACAAATCCAGTGTTATATTTTAAGCATCAAGGAGAAGATTCCACAACACATTTGATTCGGGATGATTTTTGTTTAATTTTAATGACTGAATACCAAGCTGAAATGTTAAAAAAATTTGGATGTGATAAAATATGTATAGACGGAACACAGTTTAAACAGTTATAACTTTCAGTTGTATACTTTACTTGAAGTAGACAATTATGGAAATGGTTTTCCTGTTGCATTCTGTTTTACAAATAAATTAGATACATCTACATATAAATTATTTTTTGAATGCATCCAGCGTGTAGTAGGACTTATCAAAGAAAATGTATTTACGTCTGACGATGAACCTGCATTTTACAACGCATGGCAATCTATTATAGGTCAGGTTTCTAAACAACTATTATGTACTTGGCACGTACTAAGAAATTTGAGTAAAAACCTTGCCAAAATTCACTCACAAGAAAAAAATCTATGGTGTATAAATCGTTAAAATCTTTAATGTATGAAACTGATGAAAACAAATTTTACATAGAACTAACAAAGGTCATTGATGATTTAAAAAATAATACAGATACTGCAGATTTTGGTCAATATTTTGCGAGCAATTATTCCTCAAGAGTTAAAAATACATAAAAATACTCTAAACCAACGTTCCACATCGTAAGTACATTTATTTTATTACTTAGTTACTAGCAAGTAGCAACTAAATATTTATTACTAAGTTGTAAAAGCCAAAATTTAAAATATTAAAATGTTTAAAGTCCAATGCGCCAAGGCTGTGAAGCTGGCATATATTTGAAAGCGTCAGACGATGGAAAAGCCCTGGTAATAACAAAAATGACAGAGGACCACAATCATGAGGTTTCCCAGGTATTATATAGTCATCTTCCTAATCAAAGAAAAATCACACCCGAAAGTAAGGCAATTGTATTGGAGCCAATGGACCTTAAGGCAAATAAAAAAATGATCCAACATAAAATAATGAATGAAAGTGGAAAAATTGTTACCTTGAAAGATTTATCAAACATACATACTACAGGCAGTAAGAAAGAATTATAATTCAATTCAGTGGTTTTTTTCAGAGTAAATATTTCTTTAACTATTAATATTTTATGTTTTAAATAAAAAAATTATTCAAACAACAATTTAGTTGAAACTGTCAATAAATTAAAGACTAATTATAATTGTTCTGTTGAAATATCAACAGATGAGGAAAATAACCTCAATGGTATTTTTATACAGGACAGTTTTATGACTGAATCATTCGAAGCATATCCTGAAGTAATATTTTAATATTTTATTACAATTTTAAATTATTACAAAATTATATAATATCAAGTAAATACTAATAATTTTCCGATAATGTTTTTAGAGTGAAATAGCAGCAATTGGATTACTATTGAATGAGGAAGAAATAACCCTGTGCTGGTTTTTTGAAACTTTCAAAAAATATAACCCAATATCGGCTAAACCACGGGTACAAGGACATGGAAGAAAGAAATGTTATTAAGCAAGTCTTTCCTAATACTGCACTCACAATATGTTTGTTCCATACACTAAGAACATTTAATCGTGAAATTACGTGTGATAACCGGAATATCACGCCCAATGAAAGGGACACTGTAAAAGAAATCATTCAAAATATCATTTACTGTAAGTCAGAACTGGAATATAACAATTTATATCAGCACCTGAAGACTGTAGCACCAGAAACTGTCATCGAATATTATAATAAAAACTGGCATGGAATAAGGGATGAATGGGTTATAGGCATGACTTACATGACAGGGAATTTCATGAACAAAACAAATAACAAATTAGAGAGTTTCAATGGGAAACTAATAAAATTAAAAAACTAATAAAATGGAATCAATGTTAGGCACAGTGGTGTAGCCAGGATTTTTCAATTGGGGGGGGGGGGGGTACGGTTTGGGTCTATACATAAAACATATCATTTTAAATTTTATTGTTCATTATTTAAAACATTTAAAGTCAAAAAATATTTTAATTACATTACAATTTACATCAACCGTAGTCTTCTTGTTTTGGTCGCTAATTTATTTAGGACCTCATCGGGGTCTATCATTATATCACTGTGTATATTCATCAATGCCAAACCATTCAACCATTTTTCAAATATTTCATAGGCCTTCGAAAAGATTTAGACAATTGTCTATATCAGTGGTTTTCAACCTTTTTTGGGTCACGACCCCCCATTTTTATTTTTTTTGTACTGCGACCCCCTTCAAAAAAAATGTTGTTTTATTCATCAAAATTTGATTTAATTACTGAAAAAATATTTATTTGTTATACGATTTTGATTAATTTACACTTAAAAATTTAATTAATTCATAATACAACATTATTTTAAAACAATACAAGCATATACAATAAATTTAAATATAAAAAAAAATACATAATACATAAACTGTTGTTAATGGGATACTTGAGCTTGAGCTTTTGAAATGATTGTTTCCATATTAGGTTTTATATTAGAGACTGCAACTCTTAGATCTGATTCTAAGTTTAATTTTGTCCGATATTTGTTTTTTATAACTGTAAGAGCTGAAAACGCCGTTTCACAAAGGTAAGTGGTTGCAAATGGCAGAAGTGTTGATACAGCTACTTTTGACAATTCTGGGTATTCTGATTTTATAGAAATCCAAAATTTATCACTTGTAGTTTCATTAAATTTTATAGGTAAGCAGATTTTCATCGGCAGATAACTCAATTAATTCCTCGTTCATAACTAAACTTAATTCAGAATTCATTTCATTTATATTAATAGAAAATGGATTTCTTATCCATCCCAACTTTTTTCGTGTACTTTCGTGTACTTTTCGTACTTTATATCGCGTGAGCATAGGCGGTACTACGAGGGTGGTAGAGTAGGCAACTGCCCCTCCTGCGAACCGTACCTGTATTAATACATAATTCCTTAAATCTCGGTTTCCTAACTCTAAAAAAATATATATATTTTTTTTTCCATACGAAATTTGCTTAGCGACGCATGGAGTTATAATAAATAATAAAATATACTGTACAAAAATTCATGTTATTTTTTTTAGTATGAGGTATTACTAGCCTAAAAATTTGGACTAATATAGTAAAATATAAATAGTTTTTTTTTAAATTTAAATGTTTTTATTATTTATATTTATAATTTTTATTTACAAAATTATTCAATGAGTAAATTAGAAGGGGTTTTATTGGGGTTAAGGGGAAGTCACCCATTAACGACCCCCCCCCCTTCCCAACATATAGTTAGATAGTTTAAATATTTTCTGGCCCCCCCTGCCAAGAGGGTCTAGTACCGCCTATGCGCGTGAGATACATGTACTGCACGAATGACACCTAAGTAGGAACTGATTATTATAAATATTTGCGACTGAAATTGTTCAAATATACCTATGTATACGATACGAGTTACGAACAATTTAATAATCCATATCCGCTATCGATAAGATAATATATAAGAAATTAAGATTATACGCTCCTCAGCATGTTCTATAATCTATAATTCTCTATATAAAACAAAATTAAAAATTAACTTTATTTTATTTTTAAATAAAATGGAAAAATCATTTCATCTATTATTTTTGGCGACCCCCAAACCTATCATTCGCGACCCCCAGGTTGAAAACCACTGGTCTATATCACCGATTAGGACAAAATTCAAATTGTGCGGCTTACTTTTGTACCGGGTCAAAATCGAACTCTGAAATAAATTTAATCCCAGAAGCCGAAAATGGTGGTTTATTGAGAGAAATGAAAAATTGCATTTCCAGATTAGTACTAAATGCAGAGAGCCTAATTGAAAACAAAACATAATATATGCGAGCAATTCAATGCAATTATAAATAAGCATGTGGCGGGAAAAAGATTGAACTTTTCAGGTCGTAGAAGTTATAACACGAGAGTTGAAGCAGCGGTGATTTCATTCAATGCCAATCAGTTTTTACGAAAAATACATAAGAAAATGGCAAATAATAATAGTCCAGGTTAGTTTGTTCACTAGTATATTTGATAAATAAATAATGTATAGGCAGACTTAGATAGTATTCCAAATTTTTAACTACTTTTTAGTTTTTACAAATATTTTAAATACAGTATTTTTTGAATATTTACCTACTTTTTTAACGTTCAATAACATTTTATAAAATATTTCATTATTTTTCCGTATAAATCGCATTTAAGGTATATTTGGAATACTTTTTTTTAAGTATTCCAAATACTTTTTTTTTAATTATCTGGAATATGTACTGGAAGTACTTTTAAATAGTATCTCATCCAAGTATGTGTGAGGGTGCCTACTACTTTTTTTTTATATTATACTTTATACTAATCGTTTGATTACAAAAAAAAGATAGGCTGTTTCCACTAAGAGTTTCTTTTTATTGTATACAATAATTTATCGTTGAATTAAAATGTTGCTTTTTATCACAGTTACATATTCTCAATGACAAATGTCGAGATACAGTCGACACCTACTTTGCATCAGAGTATTTGCCTACTTGCCCACTTTTTTATTATTATCATTTTATAGGGATATTTGGAAAAAAGTTTATGAAAAATATTGATCAGATTCGAAAAAACACGAAAAATAAAATACAATTATTTCCGGATGAGCGGAGGTACCAGAAACCGCGTTCATATGGACCAGATGCCGATTATGGTTTAGCTGAACCTCTCTTAGCAATTTTGTCAGCAGAAGAATTGGAAACCAAAAAATTAATGTTTCTTACATCATTGAATGATGTCAATTTTGAGCAAGTTGAAATCGATACCCGAGATCAAAGTGACAACGAAAAATGGTTTTATGAAAGAAAAATACGACTTACAGCATCACGTTTTGGACAAATTTTTAAAATGCGTGCCAACACATCATGCAAAAATACAGTATTATGTATATAACATACTTTACGCCCCAAGTGCTCAGTTAAAATCGCTAAAATACGGACGAGAAGTAGAAGACATAGCACGTAAAAAAGCGGAATTAATTATAAAAAATAAAATTGAATTTGTTGGTTTGATCATTGATCCTAATGATCCATATTTAAGCAACGAGTCCTGGTAAATCATGTTTTTTATTGCCATGTATTTTGATAAAAAATAATATATCCTTACATGTTTTTAAATATTTTAACCGATATTTTTTTTTTTATAGATGGTTTAATTGAAAACGATGCTGTAGTAGAAATCAAATGCCCATATGTTGCTAAAGATACTACTAGTGCTATAGAAGAGGTCAACAATAATCTTGTAAGTTATTTGTATGTTATAATGAAATATGATGTAATGATAATTAGCAATATATATATAATATATATGTTATTATGCTTTTATTTACAATACTGCAGTCTTGTGAATAAGAAATAAAATTAAAAACTGAAACATGCATATTACTACCAAATGATGGGCAATTACATATCAGTCGTCGAAAATTGTGTTATTTTGTTGTGCATACAAATAATTGGACAAACATCGAAACTATTCTTTATAATTCTACATTTTGGGAATCTAAAATGGTTCATAAACTCAAAGCGTAAGTGAAGTATAAATGTATAATTAATGATTACAATTAAGACTTATACTATAATATTGTAATATAAAATATTTTTAATGTTATTTGTTTTAGATTTTATTGACAATGTTTACTATCGGAAATAGTACAACCACTTTACCCAACTAGAATGCTAAAAAGTGATATACGAGACCGAGATAAAGCCAAGTAATATAAATAGTAGTGTGGTACCTACATTAAGTTTTATAAATAAAAAATAAGAAATACCTAATTTTATTAGTTATTACTTGAATTATGAACTGTATCTAATTATATTTCCATAACCAATTTATTTCCTTTCAAAAAATTTTGTTTTATTGTATTGGTATCGGTATGCATATTAAAGTAAGCAAGAGTTTTATTTATTAATTACATACTAATAAATATAATATTATCGAATACACGCGTAATTCATAATATCTTTGTTATTACTTATTAGTAAATCGTAGGTTTCAAATTATTGTAGGATAGGTAGAAAGGTAGAACCTTATAAATAATAATAGGTGACTGATGTGTGAAAAATGTTTTAGAAATGTTAGAGATACGCAAGAAATGTAATCTAAAAAATATACCTATGTGGTAACAGTATAACATAAAATAATATATATTCATTTAATTAACCTACTAAAATATAATATTTAGATATTTAGGTAATACTAGTTTAGGTTACAGTTATATATTAGATATTATTTACTGTATTTAATACATTTTTTACGAAGTAAGTATTTAATAATGCAATAAATAAAAGCCGCGTATAGGTACGCTCGAATATTAAAAATATTACGGCGGTAATGCGGTATAATATACGTGTATGCATTTTATATTTACGTGATCCGCCACAGACGAAGGTTGATAAAATAATAAACATCGCTCCCGAATGAGCAAAATTGTCGGCCAGCCGCCGACTGTGAGTAGTGGGCGCGGCTTAAGCGGCTTGCGGATCGCGAAAACACCTAACAGCGCGTTCTCTCGGTCGTTGTATACGTTTCGCTTTCGGTGTGGCGTCCTCTTAAGAACAAAACATAAAGATACTACGAAAGTTAAAAATGTATGTTATTGTAATTACTGCGATGCATCATTTGATTTGAAGTCCAATATAATAAAACACACTAAGACTCGTTTATATGGTCAGCATAGTAATACGTTATGTTCATATACAAATTGCACAAAATCATTTCCATCTATAAAATGATTTATTGGGCATTTAAAATCTCATAACATTAATATCGAGCCCAACATGTTAAATTTTAATGCTATAGAAGGTATACAGTGGAATCCGCTTATTGTGGGCACCGGTTAATATGGGCATCCGCTTATTGTGAGCAAACAGGTCTGGTCCCAATACAATTGTATATTAACAATGTTAAATCTAACCGCGTAATATGGGCACTCGATTCGGTTTATGTGGGTAATTTTATTTTATCATAGCGTTAGAATACACACAATATGTACAATAATCATATGTATTTAAAAACGACTAATTTAATCGGATTTCGTCATATCCATAAGATTGTATTTATCGAAAGTAATAAAAATCATTATGCCATTTAAACCTTAATGGGATTTTGATGTGTGTAAATGTTATTAGATGCGATAAAAATAAAGCGATAGACGGCACACGTTCTGCAATGCGTCAATAACAGCATTTCAGTTGTAACATGAATTTCAACGTGACAATACGTACAATATGTCTCGAAAAGATCTCTCCCTAAAGAAAAAAAAAATTTATATAAGTATATGATAATAAAAATAAAATCTTTTTTGTATTATAATTTTTTTTTTTTTTTTAACTAATTTCGGTTTTTATGGGCAACCACCTAATGTCGGCAAACAGAACTGGTCCCAACGTGCCCACATTAAGCGGAATCCACTGTATTAATTTATAATTACATTATATATAATATGTTAACAATTATTATTACTAACTATTGTTTTTATGTACTCAGTGATTTAGCTTAAAGTATTTGTTTTTACTTTTGATGTTTCTGTGGACATGTATGTATTATTATTACAAATTTTTTCAGTCACTACTGCAAAGTATCGGTCCTAATAAAATGTTTGTTCAGTATTAATATTGTTTAAATGTTATAGGTGATTTATATTAATGCAAAAATTGTTATGTCTTATGACGAACCGGTATTTTACAACGCATG